GGAACAGGAATGGGGAGATAATGTTAGGAGAAAGACAGGAATTGCGAGGTAAATATACATATATATATATATATATATATATATATATATATATATATATATATATATATATATATATGTATGTATGTATGTATGTATGTATGTATGTATGTATTATTTATTTCGTTAATGTAAGGGGAGAAAAGACAGAAAGAAGAAACTGCAGTTGAAAAAAGGAAGGCAAATAAATGAAACATGGACGAGAATAAGATCAATATGTAGATAAGGAATAGAATAATGATAATGATAGATAAAAAAGACGATCATTAGGGCTAGGAATCCCAAGCATCTAAATCTCGGTCCTTTATTTATTTCGAAAATTATGTTCAGAAGATAATATTTTTTAAACAGATGGTTAAAGGTTAAAAAAAACAGGATGAAAAAGATGGAATTAACATAAAAGCAATGTAAATCATGAGAGAGAGATATGATGTGTATATTGCCGAAAGAAGCAAAAAAGAAAGAAAGAAAAAAACAAGAATAAGAAAATAAATAAATAAAAAGTTGTCTTGCAATAAAGAGCAAAAAAGTGTAAATCGAAAAAGTCACCTGATTGGTTTTTCCTCCGACGCCAAAAAGCCAAAGCTAGGTTAGTAAGCCGCTTGAATGCAGAGGAAAGAATTTACTTTTTCTCTCCACTGGATTTTAACTAAAGATTCAAGCTTTTAAACCAGATTTTATGACACATTTAGATTTAATTCTTCGGTTAACCATCAATTTTATTTTGATGAATAATATTCTCTCAATCATACGAAATACGCTAGCTTCGGTCTGTCCTTAAGCATAAATGTACAGTATAACGGACTAAATACGGCGGCAGAAAGACCGATTGGCCAGGAGACCTTCCCGGGCTTCAAGGGGCTTATACCGAAGTCACCGAGATAGGCGGTTTAGCCACGTCTCTGTGATAGCAATAACAGTGATGGCCAACAACGGCAACAAATGCATTTCAAATGACGTTGCGTTAGGGTGACTTCATTCATCTTTATCCTTATCTCTTTACTTATTCATCTATCTCTCCATCCACTTATTTATCCATTCATTTATTCTTCTCTATACTTTTGTATTTTCATTCTAGTTAAATGATTCCTGTCTCTCCGTCTGAATACCTCTATCTATCAGCTGCATTAGTTCCGTCCCATTGGCTGACGTTTTCTTAAAGGATAGATTATCTGCCTCTCTCCTCTCTATTAGCTTAATTATTGCTTTGCATCGGGTTTCCTGTTGTCCTTTATCGGTTAAATCATTTCCTGGTTTTCATGTAGTCATTTTTATTCATCAGCTAAAAGATCTTTAGCTTCTTTCACATTATTTCTCTCTGTAGTTAAATCATTACTATCTGTTGAATAATTGCCACTTACTGTTTAAATTATTTCTGTATCATCTACAGTGACACTTTTTTACAGTTATTTCACTCTATCTATAAGTTATTCCTGTCTGTGAGCCCAGTTATTCTTAATTTTTTACATTATTACATGTTGAGCTGTCAGTGTGTGTGTGTACACACTGTTATATATATATATATATATATATATATATATATATATATATATATATATATATATATATATATATATATATATATATATATAAATATATATATATATGTATATATGTATATATATATATATATATATATATATATATATATATATATATATATATATATATAATATATATATATATATATATATATATATATATATATATATATATATATATATATATATATATGTGTGTGTGTGTGTGTGTGTGTGTGTGTGTGTGTGTGAGAGAGAGAGAGAGAGAATAAGCGAACAGCTAGACAGGCGGAGAGAGCGCCACTCACCCCCCCCCCCCTCTCCCCCCCAGATCGGCAACACCAGCATCACCATCAGCGCCGACCAGGACTGCGAGGAGATCGGCGCCGTCTACGGCTCCACCATCTTCTGGACCATGCAGGCCGTCTCCATCCTGGGCCTCGTCCTGTCCTTCGCCAGCCTGCTCACCTGCGGCGCCGGGGAGGCAGGCTTCGAGGTGCCGCCGGTGAGGAACGGGTGGGGGAAGGGTGGGGGAAGGGAGGTGGGGTTCAGTGGGGTGGGGGAAGGGGATGGGGGAAGGGGGGTGGGGGCGGAGGCTGGGTTCCAGGGTTGGGGAAGAGGTGAGTAGGGTTCAGCTGAAGAGGGGGTTTGGGGTTTTCATGAGGTGAGGGGAGCAGGTTCTCATTAGTTTTTTTTGTGTGCGCCATCCTAGATAATCTTTTTATTATTCCCTTTAATGGCTTTATCCATATGTGGATTTCACGCCACATAATTTCACCCCAGTGTCATTATCCCTCCTTGACAGTGTCTGGATTTTAGCCCGCATAATTAATCATTCCTCCTGACAGCTTCTTCCATCAACAGATTTCTTTCCCCCTCTTCTTCTTGGCAGTTTTATCCACGTGTTCCTCTCACCCTTTATCGCGGTCTCTTCTTAGTAGCTTTGTCTGTCACATCCTCGGCCTCCTTGACAGCCTCGCCCACTCTTGCAGGTGGCTCCCGTCGTGCTGGCAATGGACATCTCTGACGCCGTGGCAGGCCAGATAGACTTGGACGAGGTACTGGAGATCGGGCCCCTGCAATTCGTGACTGACAAGGTAGTCCAGATCCTACACGAAGGCTACAAGAAGGAGGTGGCCAATGAGCTCGCCCAAGCCGAGGCCGAGGGAGGAGGGACGGCCGCAAGGTCTGGAGGAAGAGAGGCCCAGGGAAGGACCGCGAACGACACGGCGCAGGAGGTTCATAGGAGGGCCAAGAGACAGGTCATTAACATCCCTATACCTACCTTACAAGGCCACGTTCCAGGTAGGTGTCGCTCTGGTTGTCGTATGTAATTTCTCATGCTCATTTCTCATGTTTCTCATGCTCCCAGGGCCAGTCTCTTTGAGTGTGTCATGTGGCATGTGTACCTCTCACGCTTACAAGACTCAGGGCTATTATCATTTTGTGTCATGTGCATCCCCAACGCTTCCCAGAACCCCCGAGGCCACAAGCAATTACTATGATGATAACACTACTCATGCGTTTCCCTTTTCGTTTCGGATTTATACATTAATATCTTTCTCCTAACTTTACAATGTTTGTGTATTACTGGCCTTTTATAAGTCTTATAGTCATTTTAGATATTTATTTTTTATTAGAATATTCATTTTAAGTCATTTTAATGTGAAAGTCACGTCTTCATATATTTACGTTCTTCATGGTAGTAAGGCCCTTCACATAGATATTACAAAAAAAAAAAAAAAACATAAGTAGAGCCAATCTCACTAGCCTAGACGCCCACGCCTTAATAGCGAAGCTCCAGGGACTCTTACTGACCCTCCCAGCGAAACTGTAAAGCTTAAAGACCACTTACCTGTATAGCCCAAAAGGCCTGTACGAACGCATCCAGACGACCCAGGGTGACAGAGCCTCAGGGAGTCCGAAGAACCGACTCAACCACAACGACCTTAGAGAGCCCAATTACCCAAAGCCTTCTTCTGGCTCTCTTACGAGGGAGATCTGCACCTAGAAAAAGTCTTACAAAAGAGCCTAAAATCTCACAAGGATCCCTTTCTCTCCTCCCCTAGGACACCGAAGGCACATTTCAGTCACATCGATTTTTCGATGTGACTGAATGTGATTTTTTTTTTTTTCGAGGATTCTAAGGATCCACACGACCCTTGAATCCTTCCTTCCCCTCCCTTCCTTGCTTACCCCCCCTCCCTCCACCCCCCAGGGCGCGACGACCCCCCCTCGGACGCCTGCGAGAGAGACGAGGTGCTCCTCTCCGACGGCGACTGCCACGAGCTGCTCAAACAGGGCCCGTGCGAGGAGGATGAGATCGTGCTGATGGACCGCGCCTCCAGGCAGGTGAGGCCCGGGGCTTGGCTCAGCGTCAGCATCAATATCATCATTATCATCATCATCATCACCAGTATCAACATCATCACCAATATCATCCTCATCATCACCAGTATCAACATCATCACCAATATCATCCTCATCATCATCACTATCAACATCATCACCAATATCATCAGCATCATCACCAGTATCAACATCATCGTCATCATTCCCATTATCATTATCATTATTACCATCATCATTTACGCTAATGGCAAGTCCAGCTACATTTCATGACGGCGCATAACATTTCTATCAGTCATTCCTCCATTTCCAATTCGTCATAATCTATTCATTCATCTATTCAATTATTCATTATTTTATTCACTCGTTTATTTATTCATTTATTCGCTCAGTTATTTACTCATTCATTCCTTTTCCTTCTTTATTCACAAATTTACTTATTCATTCACATATCGACTCATATGTGCATTAATTTATTCATCCATTTAAGCATTTATTCCTTCTCTTTCACACTCATCTCTTCGTTCACTCACTAAACTTTTTATTCGTTCATTCATTCACTCATTTATTCATTCATTTAAATACTCATTCATTCACCTATATACTAATTTATTCACTCATCTATTCACTCATCTACTCATTCATTTCCCCATTTATTCATTCCTTTTTCACGCATTTACTCACTCACATTTATTCCCTCATCTATTCACTCATTAATTTCCCCCATTTATTCATTCCCTTTTCACGCCTATACTTACTCACATATATTCACTCATCTATTCATTCATTTTCCCATTTATTCATTCCATTTTTACGCATTTACTCACTTACATTTATTCACTCATCTATTCATTCATTTGCCCATTTATTCATTCCATTTTTACGCATTTACTCACTTACATTTATTCACTCATCTGTTAATTAATTTGCCTATTTATTCATTTCCCCCCCCCACTTCCTCCCCAGGGCTACTGCGGCGCGCGCCTGTGCAATCCCGATCGTGTGTTCGTATTCGGCGACCAGCAGTGCCACGACCCCAACGAACCAGGGATCTGCCCACGTAAGGCACTGTGGGGGTGTGGGGGGCGAATGGGTGGGGGGGGGCGTGGGTGGAGAGGTTAGTGGATGGGTGGAAGAGAGAGATTGATGGATGGGGGGAAAGAGAGGTTGATGGATGGGTGGAAGAGAGAGGTTGGTGGAAGAGAGAGGTTGGTGGATGGGGAGAAAGAGAGAGATTGGTGGATGGGTGGAAGAGAGAGGTTGGTGAATGAGGAAAAAAAAGAGATGGAAAATTATTTTCAAAAATACGTAAGTAGCTGTTGTGGAAAATGGGAGAATGAGTGAAAATGAGACTAATTAATAAAAAGCATTAGATAGATGGATAAATGAAAGTTATAATAAATATGAGAGATGTGAACGGATGAAAAAAATAGATGAATGGATGAAAAGTATAACTTAGATCAATAAGTGAGAGAAATATTGAATACACGAATTTTAGAAATCAAATACGTGAATAAATAAAAAGTGAGTGAAGTGAAAATGTAAAATGCTAATGACAATGAATATAATGGTGATAGCTGATTATAGATAATAATATTAATGATGCAAATACTGATAATGATAAGAATAATTATGATGTGATAGTGATAATAGTGATTAGGATGTTGAAAAAATGACAATGAAAATATAATAATAATGATAATAATACTAATGCTACTACTACTACTACTAATAGTAATAATAATAGTAATAACAACAGTAATAATAATAGTAATATTAATAATAACAATAACGATAAAAATAATGATAATAATAATAATGATGATAATAATAATGATGATAATAATAATGATGATAATAATAATAACAATAATAATAATAATAATAATAATAATAATAATAATGATAATAATGTAATAATGATAATAATGATAATAATAATAGTAATAATAATAATGTAATAATGATAATAATGATAATAATAATAATAATAATAATAATAATAATAATAATAATAATAATAATAATGATAATGATAATAATAACAATAATAATAATAATAATAATGATAAGGATAACAACAACTATGATAGTAATAAAAGATACTACGAATGCTACAACTGCTGCTACTACTACTAACATTAATAATTATTATTATTATCATTATAATAATAATAAAAAATAATAGTAATAATGATAATGATAATAATTACAATAACGATTAGAATAATGGTCATAATTATAGTAATAATAACAAGAAAGATAATAATGAAAGCAATTTAGTTCATATTTAAAGAATGAGACTTCCCCCCCCCCCCCCTTCCTCTTTCACCTCCCTTCTCTCTCCCTCTTACCCCTTCCCCATTCCCCTCCTCCCTTCCCCTTCTCCTTTTCTCCCCCATTCTTCCTATCTTTTACTGCTTCTCTTCCTTATTTCCTCTTTCCCCCTCCTCCTCCTCCCCCTTGCCCCCCTTCCTCCTTTCCTTCCCCATTCCTCCCACTTTCCTTCTCCTCCCCTTGCTCCTTCTTCCTTCATCCTTCCCTTTCCCCTCTCCAATCTACCCTCCCTTCCGTCCTTCCCCTTCCTTTCCTCCACTACTTTCCCTTCCCCTTTCCCCCTTTCCTTCCTTCCTCCTCCTCCTCCTCCTCCTTCCCTTCCCCCTCCTCCTCCCCCTTCCCTTCCCTTCCCCCTCCTCCTCCCCCTCCCCCTCCCCCTCCCCCCCCTTTCTCCCCACAGCCGGACGCCGCCTGTTCACGACCGGCTTCGGGACGCCCGTGTGCGGCTGTCCGGACGGCACCTACGAGGAGGACGACGACCTCGACGACGACGTGTGCGAGCCGGTCCTCGCGCGCCTCTCCGATTGCCCCCCGGGCGAGGTCAGTGGAAGAGGCACGACGGATGGGGAAGGGAAAGGGAACGATAGATAGGGGAGGAAAAGGGAAAGATAGATAAGGGAGGATGTGAGGGAAAGATAGATAAGGGAGGAAAGATAGAAAAGGGAGCAAGAGGGAAAGATAGAAAAGGGAGCAAGAGGGAAAGATAGACAGGGAAAGAGAGGGGGGAGATAGATAGGGGAGGAAGAGGGAAACAAAATGGGGTTAATGTTGATGATATTCACAAAACTAATTGACGCAATTATAAAACGAAGGGCATCTTTGGGTAATTATAAGGACGAGAATACGATTGACACGCCCCCCCCCCCCCCAGGTGTTCTGGTTCACGAGCTTCCGGCGCCCCCCCGAGTGCGTGCCCGACCCCTGCAAGGGACTCAACCTCAAGCGCGGCCCCAGCGACCTCCCCTTCGCCCCCTCCCTGCACGACGGGAAGTGCTACCAGATCGGCTCGGTAAGGCGTCCTCCGGCGGCTCCTCTTACTATCTTTTTTTTTCTCTCTTCTGTTCACTCTTTCTTGCTTTTACCTTTTTTTTCCTTCGTCCGCGACGCCAAGTACCGCCAGTTTGGTGGGTAAGGCGTCGCCTTTCTTGTTTTTTTTCTCTCCTTCTCATTCATAATCATGGTTCATCCTTTCGTCTGTTTTCTTCTATCTCCTCTTTTGTTTTTTTTTCCCTTCTCCTTCGGCTCGGCGACTTATTGCCGCCTTTGCTGATTCTCTCTTACCTCCTTTCGTTATTTTCTCCTTCATTTCCCTCCTTTCGTCCAAGTTCCCAATTTTTCTTTCACTGCCACCAGTCTCCTCCTTTCCTCTCCCTCTCTCTGTCTCCTCTTTGCCGTCTTTCCCCTTCTTCCTTCCGCCCCGCTCAATCCTTTCTCCCCCCTAACCCCTCCCCTCCCCCGCAGCGGCCGCCCTTCTGCCAGAGCGACGAACTCTACTCGCTGTCGTTCGAGCTCCTGCGCGGCGTGTGCTCGACGCTCGACGACGCCGGCTACCAGCTGCTCGACGCCGACACGCTCGACTTCCTGGCCAGCGTCTACGGGTCCCCGCTGCCCCGCGACGCGCCCGCCAAGGACTCCAAGGACTCGCGCACCAAGCCTTCGTCCCCCTCGTCGTCCAGCCGCCGCCGCCCCTCCTCGTCCTCGTCCTCGTCCCGCAAGGGCGTGAAAGCCAAGATCACGCCCGCCGGCACGACGCTGCTGGTGCCGGCGCCGCGCCCCGCCATCGGCTCCTCCGTCATGAAGGCGGCGGCCAACGTGAGCTTCCCGCCGCCCTTCATCATGGGCCAGTCAGTCGTGGCCAACCACCACGACGACGCCGACGACGACGCCCTCGAGGACGCCCACACCATGGTCGCGCTTCTGCCCACGCACATGAACGCCTTCTCGCCGCCGCTCATCGCCGTCAACGGCTCCGTCTCCGTCCTCGGCTTCCTTAGCAAGTGAGTCCGGCGCCGAGGCGTCCGCGCCCTCCGCGGGCGGTGTCTGGGCGCGTGTGTCTACTGTATATGTGTGTGTGTGTGTGTGTAAATATGTATTAATTAATCTAGATTGATAGATACACAGATATATACTGTATAAATATAATATGCGGATAGACAGATATATAGACATATATAGAGATGCATGCACATATCATAAACCCTAAACCTTTTAAAAGCCCATCGCAATCTAACATGAGACGCAAAGCGAAGAGCCTTACACCCCCCCCTTCCCCCCCAACAGCCTGGTGCCGGGCGCGCCCCCCCTGCACCACCGGGGGCGCCGTTCCCCCCAACCGTTCGCCTCCCCCGGCAACGTGATCGAGCCCGGCCTTTCCGCGTGCCGTGCCGGTGCCAGGCGTGACGGCAACGCCAAGTGCCGTGACACGTGAGTTGACACTGAGTAATGTTAACTGAAGGGATACACCGCGTTCTGCCTCGTACGTGTGTGTGTGTGTGTTTTTATATATCACATAATCCCCTCCATGAATAAATCCTTCTCGCTTCCCTCTGCAGGGTCCTTCCCAGCCGATACCCCCCCTCCCGCCCCCGCAGAACTGCCGCGCCCGTCCCCGCCCGGCCCTCCTGCCCGCCCGTAAGTGGGCGTCGCTTTTCTGCTCCAAGGCGACTCTTGGCGCCGTCCTGGTCGCCAGGGGGAGCGTTAGGATAAGCTGGATGTTGTCACTGTGTTGTCTTTTCCCATTTACTTTGCGTTTTTACTCTCTGCACCATTTTTTCTTTTTCTTTTTTCATGTAATCAGAATCAAATTGAAGCTAAATTGACCAGAATTCAAATTAATGAGGATTCAAGTAGAATCGAATTTAACTGAAGTTAAACCAACAGTTATACTGAAGATAAATCCATTAGAATTTCCTCTAATTTGATCGGAGCTAAACCGGAAAGCCCGGGCACTGAACCCGAACGTTTCTGTCTCTCGCAGGGAAGCCTCTGGGGCCTGGACCGCAAGTGCTCCTCCAGCTCGCAGGGCATCGCCAACTCCATCTCCAGCGTCGGCCTCGGATAAGCCCCGGCCTTCGATGCTCCAGCCGGATTTTATACCAATTCTTTTCTATTTTGTGCTTTGGTTCTCTCGTTTTTTAGTGTGTTTTTTTATCTACTTCTCTTTTCTTATTTTTTTTAATCTTGTGTTTCTTTTGTTCATTTTCGTTTATGCAAATTTTATTTCCTTTTTTTCTCTCTCTCTTTCCTTTCGCCTCCGTCTCCCTGTTTTGGGCGCGGGACGTTTGTCTTGAGTCGCCGACGATCTGTTTCTCTTTTACTCCATGTTTACAGGAAACAGAAAAAATATTTAAAGGATAAAAAAAAGACAATTATAAACTATATTTTCCTTTAAATTCGCTGTTTTTGCGCAGTAGACTATTCTAGTCAGCCATTCGGAGTTACTCGTTTTTTAAACTTGGCATTATCATTCTCTTCTCCTTATACTGAACTGCTTTGAGACTTTCCACAGTGTAATCTATTCAGTGATCACGACGGAAATGGTAATGATAGTGTTCCTAATCACCAAGGGCTTCCTAATGGCGGCTTCAAAAAGCAAAAACAAAACGAAACGAAAGGAAGACAAACGTCCTGCGCCGGGGATAAAAACCGTATCATAAGTAAACTCAAATATCTAAGTCCTTTTGTCTTTAAAGTTCCGAGCAGCGTAAATTCACGATTTCATTAATATTTTAGAGTTAGTGATAATTTTGTGTATACTTTAGTGTTTTAAGGGAAAATGAAGCTTGGACTGCGTTGAGACCCGCTGGCTGTTGAAGGAAGAAGACAGTAACGAAATATATATATATTTGAGATTTTTTTTACAAAGTAATAAAACAATATAATGTTCCTTATAAACTTGCTATGTTTATTGTTCGTCGTAGAAAATGTTTACATTAGATCGACTGGGTTTATTTTCAAATGTTTTGAAACCGAAATGCGCTTTAAAAAAAAATATATATATATACATAAATATATTTGAAACCGAAATGCGCTTTGCAAAATAATAATAATAATAAATAAATAAAAAATATATATATTGACTTGCAGACCGAAAATAAGAAAAAAAATCAACAAAGCAGGTTTATTCTCAAATACATATATATTTTGTCGCATAATATCAACCCAGTGGGCGGTTTTGTCATTCAGAGAAAGAGCAGAAACCGTGATGATGTTTTTGTGATTTTCAAAATTCTTTCAATCATTAATCTTTAGACATATTTCTGTCTGTGTTACCGTGAGGCATTAGGAACACAGCTCTCTCAAAATCCCGATCCTTGCTTGCGTATCCAGAAATGTACAATGTAATGCATGTGTAGATAAGCCCTGGGCATTTATTCATTGGTGATATGAACAGCACATAGTGTGTGTATATATATATATACATATATATATATATATATATATATATATATATATATATATATATATAATATATACAATATATATACATATATATGTATATGTATATATACATGTTCATATATATATATATATATATATATATATATATATATATATATATATATATAAATATATATGGTGCATGTATGTTTATCGATTAGGTGATGGAACGAAGAGGTGGCCACAAACACTTCCCAAGTCATCAATTAACAATTTATAGAAGATTTACAATAACAAGGATAATAATAATTAAGATAAGGCAACTCCTAGAGAAAATATTTATTGATGTAACAAAGTACAAAGTAGACGATGCCACGACTGGAAGGACCACCGGGGAGTTTGTGTCGACGTTCGTGATGATGGTTCTGAGGAAACCGAGACAGTGCCGAGGAAGTGCCTTGCCTTCGGCTTCTGTGGAGCGATGGTGACAATAAAGAGAAAACGGACTTTGCGCGTTTCCTTTTACCTTCGGTGTGTCCGAAAGCTACATCTTCATAATTCTGTTTATATGCACTGCATAGATCCACATATGATACGGCTGCATAGGCACGTGCATTGTCCTGAAAAAAGTCAGCTGTTTTGGTTCTCCTTTTAAACGAACCTTATAAAATGTAGACAATTCACACATTATACAATATAGGCTCGCATACACACACACACACGCACACATATTTGTTTGCGTGTGTGTATGTAGGTATGTGTGTATATATATACATATATACATACACACACAAGCACATGTATATACATTTATATGTATATATATGTATATCTATATCTATATATATGTATATATATGTATCACACATATATATACATGTGTGTGTGTATATATATATATATATATATATATATATATATATATATATATATATATATATATATATATATGTATCACACATATATATACATGTGTGTGTGTATATATATATATATATATATATATATATATATATATATATATATATTTATTTATATATATGTATCTATATATATGTATGTATGTATGCATATAAACACATACATACACACACATGCATACCCACACACACACACATACATATATATTTATATATATATATGTATATATATATATGTATATGTACATGTATATAGATATATATATTTTTTCTTTTTTTTTAGCCATCCATTCCCCTGCACGACAAAGGCCTCATTTCTATGCACTGGCATGTAGCTTCCCAGAATTCCCTCCTGTATCATTGCTTCCTACTTACCTCACTTGTCCGGCTCCTCTTCTCTATGTAATACTTTCGTGTGCTCCATTAAACGACTTTTCCTGGAGAATCCTTTACCACACACATCACATAAGTAAGCTTTCCTCTTTGTATGTACTCTCGCGTGCTTCACTAAAGTACCTTTCAGAGAAAATGCCTTACTACATATTTCACATTTATAAGGTTTCTCTTTTGTATGCACTCTCATGTGAATCACTAGAGTAGTTTTCTGTGAGAATGTCTTACCACATACATCACATTTATAGGGTTTTTCTCTTGTATGTACTCTCATGTGGTGAACTAGATGGTGTTTATAACAAAAAGATTTGGTGCAAACTTCACATTTAAAAGGTTTGTCTTTCGTATGCACTGCCATGTGTTTTCCTAGAGCTCTCTTTCCTGCAAAAGCTTTGTTACATACCTCACAGGGATAAGGCTTCTCTTTCATATGCACTTCGTTTGTGTGTTCCTCTAGACTACTTTTGTACGAGAATGCAGCACTACATAAATTACAAATATAAGGTTTTTCTTTTGTATGTACTCTAGCGTGATTCACTAAAGTACCTTTCAGAGAGAATGACTTACTACATACTTCACATTTATAAGGTTTCTCTTGTGTATGTATCCTCATGTGAATTACTAGGGCAGTTTTCTGTGCGAATGACTTAGTACAGACATCACATATATAAGGTTTCTCTTTTGTATGCACTCTCGTGTGACTCACAAGGGCAGTTTTCTGTGAAAATGCTTTACTACAGACATCACATTTATAAGGTTTCTCCTTTGTATGTACTCGCATATGAGTCACTAGTGTAATTTTCTGTGAGAATGCCTTACTGCAAACCTCACATCTATAAGGTTTTTCTTTCGTATGCACTCTCATATGGCGAGTTAGATGCGGTTTACGATAGAATGACTTGCTACAAACCTCACAACTATGCGGCCTTCCTTTAGCGTGCACTTTCACATGAACTGACAAACGAGCATTGCAAGAAAATTGAAGGCTGCATATGTGGCAAACAAAATGTTTTTCTTCCCTATCTTCACCAACACCTTTAACTGTCGTCTCATGACTGTCTGCTGAGCTTGTGTCCTCACATTTATCAATTACCGACTGTTCTACTTTTAATGGATCTCCAACTTCACACAGTAAATTCGAGTTGCTTTTGTTTATTTCCATATCTATAAAATTTGTTCGTTCTAGTTTTGGAAATTCACTTATATATACCTCTCCAGCCTTTATAAAGACAGAATTATCGTCACCTTTATCCTTCATGTAGATAGAATTATCTTCATTTATGTCCTCATTAACTTCAGCCTTCTTATAGACAGAACCGTCTTCACCTACATCCTCTCTAGTTTCAGCCTTTACATAAATAGTATTGTGTCCACCTATATCCTTGGTAATTTCATCTTTTAAATAGTAAGTGCTGTCTTCTATTACATCGTCACTAACTTCAGTCTTTATATAGCTAGTATTATCTCCGCCGATACACTTGCTAATTTCATCTTTTATTTCGTGATAGCTTTCCGCACAGAAGTCTTCAATGTTCTCTTCCTTAACAGCAAAGAATTCGAGTGCGCTGTCGTTCACTTCGGTTTCCAAACCTGAGTCATCCATGATGGCTGTCGTACTCATCCACGCACTAATCAGAAGTGTCCCTGACGAAGAACAACAGTGATAGTTGAGGACTCTGCTACAGCATGCAAATAATTATGATGAATGTGCAAAGCTACTTTTTAAGGATTATCGTTTATGTCTGCCGCGTCAGCATTTAAGGCCCTTAGCATTCAAAGTATAGCGACAGGGTGGGGCTTGGGGGCGACAACAACGAGCAAGTTGTTTAACATGCACTTTTCTATATATATATATTTCTCTTTGTTACCCTTGGCCTGCAGTCACTTTTAAATGCCTTTTTTACAAACTACAAGATTCTCAAGATGTTCCTTCGTGACTTGAACTTAACCGACTATTGTGATTGTGAAACTAGTGTTTCCTAGAATATCCTAATTTCACTTTAAATCGTGTTTCTTACCAGATCCCTGAAAAAAAAAAAAAAAAAAAAAAAAAAAACGTTATGGATTCCTTGTCTCAAACCATATAATGAATGAACAATAGAATTTTATTAAATTTTATTACTAGTATAAGAACTGCTCCATTTAATTTCTTTAGCTTGTAACTAATTGGCAACATTATATCCCTAGTTTAGTACTAAGCTTCCTTCAGTCCAATATTTTTTTGCAACTGTTTCTGGCATTAATGCGTTTCCCTTCAACCCATAATGAAGCCAACAAACCCTTAAAATATCAGGCATGATAGACGGAAAACTCCGCTCACGAGGGGAGAAAAAGTTGATGTCCTTTATTTGTCACGCTCAAATTGGAACTATTTTTTTTCACTTCCTAGGGTAATCTTTCCGAAAGATATAGCTGTTAACAGATACGGGTACAAAGAGAATCCATACAGATCAGGAAGCTCATGTACTGCCTCAATACATGATCTATGTCATGTTTTCGGTATCATGAAAAGCTGTACTACCCCATATAACCCCACTGAAAATGCACTAGGTGAGAGGGTTCACCAAATGCTACATCAATTGTTGCTGAGGCAGTGGGACAAGCATTTAGGGCAGTGGTTCTTAAACCTGGAGGCGCACCTCTAATAATAATGTGACTAATTCATACTCAATAAAAATAATAATAAGATACTTATGTTTTCCTTTAAAATCTGTCAGGGAATTTTATGCATAGATGCATGGAGGAATGGTGGGAAAGAAATATTCCTGAAAGTGACGTGGTAGTAAAAGGGTTAAAAGCCAGTGATTTAGGGTTTATCACAGGAAAATCAGACCCCAAGCTCAGGTACAGAGTTCTCCCCTTTCTGGCTTTTGGAAAGAAGCCTAAGTTCCCAGAGGACCATTTGTTGCCTGAGTCTGCAGAGGTTAATGGAAAAGAATGGTTGGTAGACCATCTGAAATCACTACATGGTGCATGGGCTGTTAACAGTCAAAGGAATGCAGTCTGTACGCAATGGTATGATAGCAAGTATTTAGATTTTAGTTCGAAATAATAAAATATTG